CCCCCCCCCTCCAGGGTTTTTTCTTTTGATTGTTCTTGCGCTGGCCCTGCCAAAAATCCTGCTTATTTTTCAAGGCAGGTTTTTGGTTTGCAGAGTATAAAGTGTACTGCTTGGGGGGGGGGGGGGATAACTTTTCATAGAAGAACTGAGGGAACTTGCCTCCTGGGCATCCTTTAAATTTTTTGCCAAATCATTTCCAATAAACAGCAGTTTACTGTTTGGCTGGTCTTCCAGTGAACATATGGCCGAGTATTCCTGTTTAAGGGCAGGCTTTATTTGTTCTTTCCTGACCAGAGACAAGTTAGTGTGGGCATGTGCTAAAATGGCTACAGTATCCACTAAGCTTGCCAAGTAACTATTTGTTGTTTGTAAAGCTGCAAATGTTGCTTTGAGAACTGATTGCTGTAAATTATACAGTTGAATATCTGTTCTCTTGCTCTTTGAACCCAACAACTGCCATATTTCCGGGTTGTCTTTTTTGCATGTCATACCCGGGACAGTTTTCAGGACGAGTACATTTCTCTAGTATACTCTTCAATTTTTCAGGGTTGAGTTGTTTACCCCAACGTTGTAATGCTATATCAGCTAATTTTTGCGATATGTTTGGACCTGTGGATTCATCATCCGATAGGCCTTTCGCAAGATCATTTAAGACGTTTTCGGCTTCGGTGTCAGGTTCATTTTCCCGCTCTTTTTCAGAGCTTCCCAAAAGCTGTGCTAATTCATCTTCGCTTTCGCCAGCATGGATGCTTATTGCATCAGGAGACTGTTCGCGACGTTGTCGCTTGCCTCTAGACCTGAAAGACGATGTTTCTGATTCGTCCTTGCCCGTTGGGCGTTCGCCTTGTGAAGGCTTGTCAGCTTTTTCAGCTACTAATATTTCGAACAGGTCTGCCATTTTACCCATTGTGGTATCTATATTAGCGAGAGATTAGGCGCCTCTGGCTGTTTCCTTGACGCTTCAGTGATCGCCTGATCCGGTAAGGCCGTGCGATCCTTCTTTATCCATGAATGAAATGTAGTCTAAAGTCTGCAAATAAAGCGGCTAGATTAACAAATCTTTGGAAATTATGATACTTACATAAGTCTTCCTGCTTCTCCGAACGATTTTTCCCACTATCTAAACGTGATGGTAAAGATTAAAAATGATTTGTTCAGAGAATACTCACTTTGTTGTTTACTTTCCAGCAGAACGCTAAGCGGTGATCAGCAATGCGCATGCGCATCTCATGGGACTCCTTCGCGACCTCACTGTTCGTGACAGGGACTGATGACAAGATAGAATCATAATTATACGGGCACGCCGCTTCGCGGCACTGGTATAATTAAAATTATACTTCACACTCTCCGGTCGAAATGTATGGAATACTTACGGTAGATTACAGGGCACATTTTATTTATGTTTGTTCTTTGTTGTTTTATTTTTAACAATAATAATAACAATACCACAACTATTTTTGCGATAACACAATTGTTTCAAAGAAACTAGCAGTGTAGGTTTATAATGAAAACGATTAAAAGTTGATGTACTAGTCCAGTCTGCCATGTCTAAAATCATATCGATACATAAACCAGCCTGTTTTGCCGATGATGTAGACGCACCTCGAACAAAATGTCCCCCAAATAAATCTTTAATACCCGATTGACGGATTACCTCCTTCTTTCCTTTAACTCCCCCCATCCTCCCATTCCTCCGCATTCCTATTACCTTGTAATTTGATATTGTAAATAGTAATTCATTCATATTTGTAACTCATTGTCATACTATATTCATTTACTCTGAAGATGTCTTAAGTTCAAGACGAAACGTTAGTACTTCTCAAATAAATTTTATGTCTATATTCTTGTCTATATGGCTCTTTTGCTCTAATGCTGGGCATTAATCTTTATATTACGATATGCATTCAGTATCATGAAAATTATTGGGGGTGGATTGGGGGTGGATCGGATTTATTTAGTTCCTTAATTATTTAATATTCCTATACTTCTAAAATTCATATTCCTACCTTAAAAAATCCTAAAAACCTGTCGAGGGGGAGATATTCATTCCACTTTTTAAATTTGTTTACATTTTGAACTCAGTGCTACAGTTGTAAAATATGATTAGATATATATTATACTGAATTTTTAACACTCTTCTGGTTCGCTAATCGCTATGCTTGTAAATGAATACAGACTAGAGATTCAATTCAAGAAAGTTCGAAAGATGCGAGATATTAATAACATTCCAATGGTCGCGTTCGTTCCGACCATTGGAATGTAGGCCTGCGCAGAACGTATGCGCAGAACGGACTTTACGGCATCTTTAAAATTAATATTCATATTCCTGCCATCTATATTCAACACCGCGGAAAAACGTCTGCGCATGCACCAAATTATGAAAATATGGCGGGGAATTTGAATATCAATTTCTAAAACAAAAACATGCTTATTAATTGGTCAAAATTAGTAAAACAAACGAGAAAATATAGCAAATGGGTAGACTAGACATTAATTGAAAGCGTCCTGGCATTTAAAGTATGGAATGAAATATAATTCATGTAAAAAAATGTTGATTTTAACGGACACGACTTCGAAAATTTTTGCAAAATTATTCAAAACAAAAATTCAAACTGAAAAGTTAAGAAAACTCTCGAAAAGTTAAGCTTCTTAACCCACTCAAATTGTAGAATAAATCCTAAAGTTTAATTATTGTGAACACGAAATTTTTTTATGTTTGGCGACACAGTTTTTTTAAAGAAATGTATCTCAAACGAAAATTCGGAAATTGTTGTTGCTTAGTTGATAAACAAAATGTTTCAGACGATAAATTTGTCAACAATCACCTTTAGTTCATGTTCTTGTACAATACAATTTCTTGAACCTTCTGGCTGTATTTATTTCTAGTTTTTAGAATGACATGTTTATTTTTGCGCTTGAAATCTGGCTGTAAAGATGCACAATGAAGTCACTCCTTTTTACCGCCATTTTGAGCCTTCGGAAACGTTCGGAACAGCTTCTCATCAAGTTCGCAATACTATTACAGGTAAGGTTGACGCATGCGCAGACGTTTTTCCGCGGTGTTTCTATATTCACATTCAAACCGTATTCAATATTCGTCTATTCATCTTCCATCCCCGAATAAAAGGAAGAGAAAAGGAGTGTTAATTTACATTTTGTGTTGTGTACGGTGGCCAAAGTAGCTGCAATGCTTTCGAGTTGGCCGCCACTTACGATTTTACGACAATGATCTGCATGATTGCTATCGCATTAATACAAAAGTCAACATTCGCTTCATCGTTTACTTTATTATTATGCAGTTTGTAACATGTACAATCCGTTAACAGTAAATACCTATATAGTACATGATTAAGTGCATGAACTTACCAGAAAATGTTCCAATCAGTAAAATTGATCTGTGACTAGCTCTTATGTTCTAAAAACAACTCCTTACTTCCTGAATATATTACGAAATGAAACATCTCGTGATCAAGGTCGAGATCAAGGTCGTGTGATCTCACATTTCCATATAAAGGGACCTGAGTGGTTTTTCATTTCCTGTTCAAGAATTCAGCAGTTTACGTTTTCAAAATAAGTTGTATTTCACAGAAATTGGGTAACCCGGAACATCGCAGTTCATCTTCCTTCAATTCCATGAATGATGAATCAGATATTATATCAGGATTCTTGGCATCTGCACTTGATAGAACTAATGTAGAAGGGTTTTGTAGATGGAATTTTCGAGTGTGATACATTAATTAGACCTAACCCGGAGGAGTTGAGAAAAATGCAACTGTAGACCTTAATGCAATAGCTTGTGGTTAGAGCTCGATAACAGGCCTCTGTCGGTCGGTTAGAGCAATACATCGTATGATACATTGTATGATGTATATCATATATATTGTATGATGTATATCATCATAGAGCTAGAGGTGCACTTTTATGTATGACGCATACGATCATCATACAGACATACTGATAACCTGACCCTCACCCGCCCCCAATTTAACCCCTCCTAACCGGAGGCACCTAACCCATCTAATCCCTCACCCTGATGGCGGGCTGGGGGACGAAAAACTCGTCTATATAGCAAGGATTATACTACAGAACGACTAACATTAACACAGAACTTGCTTTGTGAAACCAACATTGTTTCTGCCGTGCTTGTATTAGGAAACACTTCGAGAATTCACGAAGCGGATGCCCGACGTGTGCGGACGAAGTGATCGTAAAGACGCTGGCCGGACCCAACTAGTTACTTTCCGAGCGAAGAATTGAGCGTGGGAAATGACGCCTGGGTTCGCAAACTAGACCCAACAGAATGGTCAACGGAAAGATTATTTAAATGAACTAAATATTCATTGCGTTTACAAGAACAGGGGTTGTCAATAGATCGTACAACTACCGAACATCTTGACAACCATGAGGCTACATGTGGATTTACACCAGCCGTTTAATTGTACAAACAAAGGCTGTGGTGTAACTTTAAACCAGCATGATCTTATTCACCATGAAAGTGAACTTGAGTTGAAGTGCCACTCTTGCGAAGAAATGATAAAAACGTTGGCAGATATATGGAGAAAAGAATGGAGAATATGAAGACAACCCTGAAGAAGGATATGGTAGATGTGAAAACAGATATGGAAGAAAAACTCGAAGCAGTGAATAATGACGTGGGAGGATTGAAAACAGTGTTGATTGAATGTTTTGATGAAATGGATAAGATAGAAGAAAAGACAAGAAAAGTAAGAAATACAGTAAGTGGTGATGAGGAAACTATAAATGGAGGTGTAGTGACTGACTGTGTATAGATGTTTTAACTGGTGCCAAAGAAGATGATCACCATTACAATCTCCGCCAAAGAAGCATTGGGGAGCGACAATAGCTGGAGGTTTCTGTTCTGGCTATGTCGATCAACTAAAACTCTGATCACTCAATGCACTAAAGTGATTGACCTGTCAGTAAACTGCCTGCTAGTTGGTATACCACAGCAGTGTGCTGTATAATAATCACTTCATATTTTCTGGTGGTTATGATGGGGATCAAGCATTTATCTATATTCATGAAGTCCAGATTGTTCCTCCTTATCATTTGAAGACCGCCTTAACTGATCAAGAATGCCAGAACCAAGATCGACAGTAGCACAACTGACACACAATTATTTGATAATAACTTGTTGATCGTTGGTGGAAAAACAACTGACAGTTTCCAAGACAACATCTATCGTACTGTATGATATAAGGAAAATGAATGTAAACAGATTGCACCACTGGCACTGCCGTGTGAAGTGAGTGACATGGCAACTGCGGTGAGATGGGGAGACAACATCGTTGTTATAGCTAGTCTTGACAAACAATACAATGAACTAGATACATAGAGTTATCATTTACGATGTGAAAACAGGAGACAGAACAAAGTCACATGCTGCCACCAATGAGATGTAAGAGACAGCGTTCTCTGGCAGTTGTTATTGGAAACAACATTGTAGTACTGGGAGGGAAGGATGACCTTTCACGTGTCTTAAAGTCAGTTGAAGCTTTCAACTTTGAAAGTTATACTTGGCAAGAACTTCCAGAAATGTCTCAAGCAAGATTTCGGCACACTGTTATTGTTGTGTAAAAGTTCATTGACTTTAGAGATGATGTCCACTCCGTTCTGCGCATCAGTTCTGCTCATAACAAAGGGGGACCCCCAGATATAGACATTGTCCAAATTTTGCATCTATCGACCTTTTTTGAATTGAAACGTACAGTTTATATTCATTTACAAGCATAGCAAACCAGAAAAGTGTTAGATATTCAGTTAGTATATCATATTTTACAAATATAGCAGTTCAAAACGTAAACAACGTTCGCGCATGTGCACAGGAGTGGACATCATCTTTAATATTTTTATGAACCTCTAAATTAGAATAAAAATCCAATAGGAAATTGCAGTATTATACTGTGATAGTTATAGTCAGTTTATTAACATGCATATGGTTATATTGAATCAATTTTTCTGAGCGAAAAGTATGTCCTGGTCAAACGAAGGTGAGAGTTGATGAGAGTTGCAACTCTCACTCACGTTTGACCGCCAACTCTCATTGACTCTCGTGCACTCCCATCAACCCTCATTAACTCTCGTACACTCCAATCAAACCTCATTGACTCTCATGCACTCCCCTCAACTCTCATTGACTCTCGTGCACTCCCATCAACCCTCATTGACTCTCGTGCACTCCCATCAACTCTCATTGACTCTCGTGCACTCCCATCAACTCTCATTGAATCTCGTACACTCCAATCAACTCTCATTGACTCTCGTGCACTCACATCAATTCTCATTGACTCTCGTGCACTCCCATCAACCCTCATTGACACCTGTGCACTCCCATCAACTCTCATTGACTCTCGTGCACTCCCATCAACTCTCATTGACTCTCGTGCAGTCCCATCAACTCTCATTGACTCTCGTGCACCTCCAATCAACTCTCATTGACTCTCGTGCACTCCCATCAACCCTCATTGACTCTCGTGCACTCCCATCA